TTTCTGTAAGTTGCATTTTAATTCTATGAGACTCATAAAATTTCACAAATTCCTGTGAGTTATATTCTCCACCATGGTCTATTCGAATAATTTTTATTAGACTTTCAATCTCTTTCTTAACAAGTGTTTTAAAGCTTTTAAAAACGACAAAAGCTTCAGATTTTTCCTGAAAAAAATAAACCCAGGTTTTCTGACCATAATCATTAATAAAGGTGATTATATATTTTTTTTACCTCCATTTGAAGATGGATTAATTGCGCCGCAAATATCATAGTGCACTAGTTCTAAAGCTTTCTTTGCTCTCCATGATTTTTTTTAGGAAAAGTGTTACGGTGTTGTGTACTAACAACACAATCTTCACAAACATCTGATAGACAATCAAATTGTGGAAGTTCTGTCATCATTTGTTTTCGCTGCAGAGTTTTCAAACCACCAAAATTTAGGTGAGTATATCGGAAATGCCAAAGCCAAGCCAACTCTTTCGATCTTGAAAAGAAACATGAAGAAGTGGTATTTTTAAGATAAAGTGGAAACATCCGATTTGTTGTCATTCTAACTTGAGCAATCAAGCCCAAATTTTCATATCGAACAGTGGAAACTCCAACCTTAATTAGAATCTCATATTCCTTCTTTTGGAGTTGAACAATACTTAGTAGATTATTCTTTAGTTCTGGAATAAAGAAAACATTTGAAATTGTTTGATTAGTGTTCTCTTTGGTACAGATTTTCACATTGCCCTTACCCATCATAAAAACTTTGGAATTATCACCCAATGTCACAGTATTACGAAATGATTCATCTAAATTTTAAAATACCGACTTGTCTCCGCACATGTGATTGCATGCTCTAGTGATCATAATGACCATCAAAGCGTGGAATAGTTGGCTACACAAATGTTACTTCAGTTGCCATCAACTTTACTTGTCTCTTTCACTAATTTACTGCAATTTTTTCTTCCTCACCTATTGCAAAGATGCTTCAAAAAAGTTCTGATACTAACTGTTAATTTTGACACTGAAAAATAAAAAAAATATCTAAGAGAAATTTTAGCAAACACTTGCTAAAATAGAAAGTCAAAAACTTTCATATATTATTTCAACGAACTGCACACTTTTTAAAACAAAACTTATAGTATAAACACTCAAGATATAAGCCTACAAAATAGGAACAACCAACAAGATAAGAGCTAAATAATTTATTACTAAAGACTAGTATTATATGACGACTAAATTAAAGAATCCTAATAAAAAATAAATTCTAACTACCCTCCCAATTTCTTTATGTATTGATGTCAAATTCGATGTCCAAAGCTCGATTTGTCAATGTTGTTGTTAAGCTCAATTTTTTTTGTTTTGTTATACTTAGCATTACAAAGATGGGTATTGCCACATTACTTTCTCATCTTTTTTCCCATTAGTTTTTTCTAATTACTTTCCTAATTAATTTCAATTTTTGTGAAACTATTAACATATGTTATGATTATAAATAATTCATCAACTTGTTTTAAGTTTCATCGGAATTAAATTTTGGTATTAAGTTTGATTTTAGTTTAAATTTAAACAATCTAAATAGTGAAAAATAATTATTTAATTAATTTCTATTTTAATTACTTCAATATTTATATTTATTTGTAAAAAAAACAGTAACTTATTTTCTCATTAAATAATTTATCGTCGACTATTCTCCACAATTATTCCCGTTAAATATATTTTCTCATTCCCAGCACAAAATAAACCCTTGATAAAACTACAACGGAACGTGTTAATTATTTGCTATTATTATTTATTTTGTAAAAAGTGTGTGCAATTGGGGTTAAACGACGCCGCCGCCGCCGTATGTATGACGATCAGAGAAACATATCTTCTCTCTTCCGTCTTCAAAACAGCAAAGTGAGGGAATAACAAACCAGTGATTAGTTTTTAAACCTCGACCGGTAAGGGCTTTAATCTTTAATTTCTCTTATTCTTTCCAAAATTTCCTTCAAAATTGTGTCATTCGTGAATATTTGGCGGCAAAATTCAGTCAGTTATGCAGAACAAATATGAAAAGCGTAATCAATTAATTCATGGCCGTTTAGGCAAACATGAGAACTTATATGACCAGTTCTACATTCACATAGAACTAAACATGGCATTACCAGCGAGTTATTACTGTCCATTCTTTAATCAACCCACTTCTTATCTTGTATATTTAACCTTTGTATTATACTCTGATGTATGGAATCAAGAATGGGGAAGGTCCAATCTCTGGTATCTCTGTGCATCGAAGAGCTTGAAAGAGAACTTGTTAATGGTAATTTTCTTGTTGCAAAAACTCTGATTCTTGGCATTGATATTGTTATATGAATGAGGTATTCAGTTCGAGCACTTAATTGTCTAATACATAATTGTATCTTATACATAATTTTATATGATGGTTATAGGTGATGATATTCTACCAGACATGTATGAGCTTCCGCCAGAATTATTTGACTGCTTGATGACTCGTTTGCCACCGTTGGCGCTGCAAAAGTTTCAAAATGAAATGTTTGTGGTCATGCTATCAATTGTTAATCATTTTCTTTTCTTTTCTTGTTTTTTTTCTCTGGTTAATCAAATTCGTTGTTATCTCCATGGATGTGGTTGCTCATTTAAGTTTTAATGCTACTATAGTCTGATAGCTGTGCCTGTGGTGTTAGATACTCTAGTAGGAAAATATTTGATAACTTCAAATTTTCAATTGAGTTTGTTCGCTTTTGCTTATTATTTGTTTGTGGATCTGTTCTTGGAGTAGGCCTTTCAAAGACTTGGATGATTATCAGTCTGATGGTGCCTCCTCCAAAAATGGAAGAAAACGTGGAAGGTATATACAACGAATTGCTTTTCTATTTCTGTTTCCCAAATCTTATGTAGAAACTGGTGGTAACACAAAAACGCTATGGTGTATGCTACTGGCATTTTCCACAGAAAAGGGAATTTTGATGCTGCATGGAAGGCATTGTTTAAGTCACGCTGGCCTGAGCTTGTTGATAATATCCAACCAGATGACTGGCAGCAGATGTATTGGGAAACACATCTGCAGAAGTATGTCTATTCAGAGAGATGAGTGCATTATTATGTTCCCTCTTATTTTGACTTCTACTCATAGTATGGCTTTTTCTTTCGTTCCTGACATTTTATATTAAATTGAAAAACAGTTGCCTTGATGAAGCAGCTGAGGTAGCTGTACTTCCATCTTTCAATGGTTGTATTAGTGAGATAAAGATTTCAGGTATCATGGTGCTCAATTTTCACTATTATCTGAAATGTAGTTTGTTTTGGCTTGTTTTCCGTCTTCTGAAATAACTAACAGCTTTGCAAATATTTCAACCCTCCTTATGTAATCTGTGCAGAGACTACACTGGAACACCTTGATCGCTCGGGAGACATCAATAATTCAACTAGTGGCTATTCAAAATTATCTTACCACTTCCAGCATTTTGGTTATTATGCTAGGTAACTATATCACTTTGGCATATCATGAGAATGTGCACCTTATTTTATATCTCCAGTGAACCTTGTCTTAAAGTGAAAAATTTATTCCTGTGCTTATAGTGCTTCATCGTTTTTTTTCCATATTGCTTCTGATTTCTTGACATGTTTTCTTTTATATTGTCATCTCGACAAACAACTGTGCAAAACATGGTCATCTCTACTGTTCTAGCAATTGTTAATTGCTTCCTTATCATATTTATTATTTCACTTCTCGTGTCTGATGTTGAGCTAAAGCTTAGTTGCTTATTGCATGTTATTTTCTTTACACAGATGTCTAAGACTTCAAAATGTGCTGTGCGTTGCAGAAACTTCAGTAAGTTTCTGAGTTCCATAGACTTAAGGAAACTACAATTCAAGTCCACACATGTGCTAACATTGTATGTTATCATATTTTGCTTGTCTTGATTCCTTTTACTTCTTTTCCAGCAATTGTTAAGGAGCAGTAAATTGCAAAGTTTGGTGCTCCGATGGATCAGATCTGAGGAGCATGTAAGTCTATTTTTCCTCTTTTTAATAAAATTAAGAAAGAGCAAGGTTTTATAGCATTGAGGGTAAAGTTGTATATAAAATCCAAAACGGTTCGGGGTAAGATAATTAAATTTTTAATTAATGAAAATAAAGGTTCTTATAATTTCTTGTTATAAGAAAATTTAGTCTTCATTAAAACTTGTAGCTAAATGAACCTTATGGAATACTTTTGTTTCAGTGCATTGAGGTTTATTGATAAGCCTTAGGATTGTATTATTGTCTTTCTGTTTTGGCTTGTAGAAATATTAGTATGTTTATATCTCAATTAGTATATCTCTCCGAGCGATAAATGTTTGTTAAATCATAATTTCTAGGAAGCCAAGTAGACTTTTCATCTTCATACACTTAAGCCACTTCAAGGTAATGAAATCCTTTATCTGTTTTCATATTATTTTAGTCATCTTCCCTGCATTGTGTCTAATTCAGCTAGGAATTACTTCATGGCTTTGTTTGGAACAAATGAACAATAATAAAAACATTTTTACTGAGTTGAACAAGGAATTCATTTGCAAATGAAATTTTCGTAGTTGAAATAATTTATGATATTTTAAAATATTTTGCAGATCTCATTTGAATCACTGGTAAACATGAAGAGATAAAAACAAGAATATTACACATTTCAAGCTTTTTTTGCTTCTCTAAACTCTCAATTTTGTTTCTAAAATTCGTTCAAAACTGTGGAGTTTAAAGTATATTTGCTTAATTCTATATGATAGTCATTTCAAAATGTCTGAAACGTAAAAATGTATATTCACCACTGAATTCCACACTTTCCTGTGAAATTCATTGCAGTGTAACTGAAGCATATAATGAGTTTTGATTATGTGCTGTAAACGCCTTCTTTCAACTTCTAACTTGGTCATCAAATAATGATTCACAATATAACAGGTTGAAGGGTTGTGCAAGCTTCTGGTTCAGAACCGTGAAACGTTGATAACACTTGAATTTAGTCACTGCAAGCTCTCTTCAAATTTTGTCAACGCAATTTTTGATTCTTTATGCATAGCGAGCAGTAAAGCACATAGGATACAACACTTTTCGGTCAACACATCAAGCTTTCTTGAAACAAATCTAGTCTCTTTACCCCCTGGACTTGTGTCATTTCTAACATTGGGAAGGTATGTGTGTTATTGTGCCATATTGAATTTGGTTAATATCATAGTTTTGGGTCTATTTTCTGCTTTGGGTTCTTGAAGATGGATGAACTCAACAACACAACTAACTTTGTGAAATACTTACTCATTTTCTTCTTCATATTAGAAGCTAAAGCATTCCTTGCCCGTGAAGGTCTTCAACTGAGATCTGCAGTGTAATCTTTGTTCCATAATGAATGAATTCAATTAGATGCCTTGAAGTTGGCTAATTTTAAGAAAATATTTATTTTTCTGAGATTGTTTCATCATCAAAACAGGAAATAGTGATCAGATAATAATGAGGAATAGTGTTAAATATCACTTTGGAATGTGATAGAAGCAGCTTGATGTCGTTTGATTTGCAACTAATTGTAGCAGCTAAAAGGATCTTTTTATTCTTTTAGTTTCCTGATAGAAAAGGAAAGATATAAGGCATTAGGTAGTGAGGGGTACTAGGTGTGGAAAAGGACCAAACAGTTCTAAGTAACATTTACCAGATGACCATTGAATCCCTTGGCTAAGCGTTTGGAGCTAATTGTAATTGATAGTTTTCACTTCAAAAGCTCATCTCTTCCTCGATCTTCAGGTTAACCAGAATACAGTTATGGGGATTTAAGCTATCACCTTCTTCTCTGTATCCATCTCCAGTCCATCTCCAGCACAAAGTTCATCAATTATCTATCCAGCCGCTGCCCTTTCCCTCCTGTCAAGGCTATTTCCCATGTATTCCTCTTTTACATATCACAATGTTTCTCTATCCATTTGTCGGCACATATCCTCTGCCCTGTCGGGGTAATTATATCTGACCACAATGTTTGTCCAGTTGCTAAAGAGGTTGAGAGGTGTGCTTCCTACTTTAACAACCTGGGTAAATAGCATTCTAGGAATAAAATCTTGAATGTGCATTTAAGATCGTCCAAAGAGAGAGTTTATTTTACTCTCAAGCAAACTCGGGTACCTTTGTCCATTAAAAACAGGCTTCAGAAAACATTAGTCACATATTAAATGTTATAAGCTGAGCATTGCAAAAGAATTCGGTCAAATAAAACTGGTACAGGGGAACATATGTGTTAATCTTTTTAAGCTGTTGATGTTGAAGGGTGGAAAAGACTCGTGGATGAATTTGATGCTTGAGGTAGAATCATTGTGGATATGAATTGTTGTCTCATGAAAGATCTGTTACCTCCTTTCTTGACCAATCATAATTAGCATCATTTAAGCTTGACCGCTACTTGTTTTTCTTATGTTCACTGTAAAATTATTGCGAATTTCCTGAATCCTTAGGTAATTGTTGTTTGAGTATGTTATGGTGTTGTTGGGTTAGACAAGGGTAAGACGGGGGATCCTATTATATTGGGAAATATAATGTGGTCTGCTAGGAAGGGTCTTGGTTTTCCAATCAACTGCTTCTTGGACCTATGTTATCTTGAAATCATTTGAATTTTTATCTTAGTTGATAGCTTTTCTCTACTAAAAGAGAAGTTCTTTAGGCCAATAATGGAAGTATCAATGAGTTCTCAAAGAAATACTCATGAAATTCACTAACTAATGATTGCATAAAAACAATAAACTAAGTCGAGAATTCGTATCAGCCTGTCTCCTTTAATGCGATGAATTTTGGGCATCTAGTTGCCCTTACTTTGGCCATTCTTCTGTACCTTCTCGCTGCAGGTCCTTGAGTTCTTTAAAATTCTGTAATGACCACCTAGATTGGAAATTTGCAAGAATCATCTGGAGTACCCTTCTTGATGTTTCCTCAAGTCTCTCCATCCTTGATCTTTCAGAAAACAATGTGAGTATTGGATTTTTTGTATTCTTAAACTGTGATCTTTGGCATTCAACCATATAAAATTTGTGCATGATCTTGCAGATAGCAGGATGGCTTTCTAGTTTCAACTGGAGATTCTCAAGTGACTCCCTTTCAGTTTTAGGAGTAAGCAAATCTTTGCATTCACTTCGTTTGCTCAATCTAAGGTATCATGTCATCACAGACAAATTCTTCATTTTTGTGTGAATTCTTCATCTTACAAGCAACTCATGGCAGGATTTGAACTGCTAACAAAGCAATAATTGATAAAAGATTGTAGCACCATCTTCTTTGTCTTGAACAATGATTTATGCATGGCGAAACAACTTATCTAATGTTAGGGGAAATGATCTAAGCAAAGATGATGCAGACAATCTTCGACGTGCAATGATTTATATGCCTAACCTGGAAATTTTAGATCTAAGTGACAATCCCATTTCTGATGATGGAATCAGGTCAGTTGACTTTCTTTTCATTGTATTTAACCAAACATCATATGCATGAGGTCTCACAAGCCTGTAATGGAATTTTTGCAGAAGTTTGATCCCCTTCTTGGTAGAAGCATCTGAAAGATGCTATCCGTTGGCTGATTTGAAGTTGGAGAACTGTGAGCTTTCCTGTAATGGAGTAATTAAGCTTCTAAACACACTTTCAACTGTAGAAAAACCATTAAAATCTCTCTCCATTGCAGATAATAGCCTTGGCAGGTTTATCTAGCTAGTGTTAGCATACAAGTTCCATTATATTTTTTCTTTAAGAAAAATTTAAGTATAATGGTTTCTGTTGTTCAGAGAAGTTGCATCAGCTTTGGGAAAATTGTTGATAACACCCATTGAGACGCTTAACATTGGAGGTATTGGATTGGGTCCATCTGGCTTTCAGGAACTACAAGAACAAATAATGGAAGAGGTTCAACTTGCAGATATCAACATAAGGTTTGTACCAGCACGGTAGTTTCATCTTTGTAAATTTTTTCTTGTTGAATCACTTGGGCATCAATTGTTTGGTACAGCAAAAACCGTGGTGGGGTTGAAGCTGCAAAATTTGTGTTGAAGCTCATACCAAATTCTCCAAAGCTTCTTGTAATTAATGCAGCATATAATCTAATGCCTGTTGAATCCTTTCCTATCATATGCTCTGCCCTGAAGGCTGCACAAGGTATATTCTAAATGTTACCATGTGATTTCTGAATTGATGGTTCTTTACCTCCGGTAGATTAGTTCTGCTTGTTTCCTGTTTGCCTAGCCGCAGGTAGATCCTAACATCTCTACTTTGAGAGAGAATCAGACAGTAACATGAGCACAGCATTTGTTAATACACTTCAAATGCCTATGAAATATGAGCAAAAATATACCATCTATTTGAATTAATGCTTCGTATTAAAATCCAGTGGTATTAATTTCTAAGTGGTGTGCATATGCTTTTGTTTGTTATGATAACGAGACATGCAGTGCACTGATCCATGTGAAATATTATTGTTGTTTAGGCCGTGTTGAGCGGCTGGACTTGACAGGAAATATTTGGGAATTGCAACCTGCTCATGCGTCTGTTGTTGCTGAATTTCAGCATAATGGAAAGCCTGTTCTGATTCTTCCATATTTTTCGGCTTCGAATTTTACCTATGACGATGATCCTTAGATGGCTTGTCTATTGCTCGGTTCCGTAATAGGAGTATCCTTTTCGCAAGGGTATTCAAAGAATTATCTAAATCATCTGTGTTCTTTGAGATTTTCAGTATCAAATAATTTTGTAGATCATATATTCCTTTTCTACTTTATATATAAAGGTAAAAAGGAGCTTCCCTTGGTGACATATATATTTTTTTAAGGATAAATATATAATTACATGTTAGAAACAGATCCTCACCTCTTTTAAAAAAGTTTAAGGGTTTGAGTGTCTGAAGTGTAATAGATTGATATATATATATATATATGTAATGTAATTATATTAAATATGATAATATGTATAATAATTATCTATTTAAAATTTTTAAATATAAATAATTTTTTATTTTATGAAATTAAAATTAATATAATAATATAAATAATAGTAATGTATTTAATACAATAATATATATAATAATTAATTATTTATATTTTTTAAATATAAGATTATAATTTGTAATTAACTACAAACTCTAAGAATCATGCATTATGTTAACTCTTGATTGCCTATTTTTCCTCAATACTTCATCTATCTTGATGACTTTCCACCAAAAATTAAGGTATAATAATTTTTTAATAATTTTTGTTCATATAAAATAATATTTATATAATTACAAAAATTCTAAATTATATTATGTGTGTAACATGTAATGTAAAATAGTATTTTTAATAAGTGTATTAATAATTTTACACTTCACCAATTTATTATTTTCATCTTTTTAAAGTACAAATATTTATAGTTTAATACTAATAAATTTACATTTATTAAAAAAATTTAAATATAATGATTATTTATTTGGAAAAAAAAAACACTATACTTGTGTACTAGGAATTGAGAGTGTTTTGATGTTTAACGTCCAGATGAAGTCATATTTGCTTCAAGTTTTTAATCAAATTTTCAGATATAAAAGATACAGTACTGCTCCTTTCTTCTTCAACCTGTTCAAATTCAGAAACTATTTAATCTGTCAAAATTCTCCTCTTCCTAAAATTTTCTCGTTTTTCTATTGATTCTAGATTGTAGTTTCCTATATACCACACGAGCTAATGGGTGAACAAGGAGGATAATTGGGTAGGATCACGCTGCCACAGCAATCGGGAGGCAGCATCTGCGTCTACATGGAAGAGAATAATCACCCCAGCGATTTTGTAAGGATGACAGTTCGTCATGCCTGCGTACCTGGATTCCTCTTGAAACTAAACGTTTGCGACAGATTGGAAGACCAAAACGACGTCGTTGCTTGAGAAACGTCCATCCACTCCAGTTCTATTAAGACCAATTAATTACACTGTAACCATTTTTGTTTTTTTCCTTTTGTTTTCTTCTGCTACAGTACAACACAAGTAGCAATATATATATTCCTGTAAGCAGCAAAACATTCACAGAGAAGAAAACATTTTCCTTTGTCATTCTGCTCTTTCCTTGTTTCATTTTGCTTTTCCTTCTTTTCTATCATGGTATCAGAGTAATGAATATTTAACCAACTTTTTTTTTTAGCTCAGTGATTGAGCTGTAAAATATTTGATCTCCAATGGCTAGATATCAGTCTGATGACCCCCAAAACCCGTTCTTCCTTCACAATGCCGATCACCCCGGTTTAGTTTTGGTGCCCAATCTTCTCAATGGCAACAACTACAACATATGTGAGAGAGCAATCAGGATAGCACTGACCGTCAAAAATAAATTGGGATTCATAGACGGAACCTACGATCAACCGAATAACATCGACTCCCGTGCCGCAGCTTGGTCGCGTTGTAACAGTATGGTGATTTCTTGGTTGCTGAATGCTGTAACAAAGGAGATAGCTGACAGCTTGTTATACCATCAAAGTGCACAATCCATCTGGACCGATTTGCAGCTCTGTTATTAGCAGAGCAATGCACTGCGTATCTACCAACTGAAACAGAGCGTGAACAACCTTGCTCAAGGGTCACTCAGCATCAACACATACTACACACGAATGAAAATAATCTGGGACGAAGTCAAAACCTTTCAACCAGCTTCAACTTGTCATTGCAGAAATATGAAGGCGTGGAATGATTATCAAGAACAAGAGTTTGTCATGACTTTCTTAATGGGATTAAATCCCTCCTATGCTGCTGTTAGAGCCCAAATTCTGATGATGGAATGCTCTCCGTCCATTTTAAAAGTCTTCTCGCTGGTGGTGCAGGAAGAACGACACCGTGCAATCGGGTTTCACACACACGCAGAAACAGGTCACGGTTCCGGACCCTCTGTTGCCCTAACTCAAGGAAGAAGAAGACCCACCTGTTCACACTGTGGACTTGTGGGCCACACTGTGGACAGGTGTTACCGCCTATATGGCTACCCACCAGACCTCAAGCCCAAGCCTAAATTATATTTTAATTATGGACCTGCTCAAGTCCAAAACCGGACCCGCAACGCTTCAGCCATTTTTAATGAGGGGCAAGTCCAAACGCAGGCCCAAACCCGCAACCCTTCAGCTATCTCTCGGCCCACTCCTGGAACCAGGTCTCTCAACTCGACTGGCCGCCAATCCAGGCCCGGGTTCTTCTTTGCCAACCAAGCCTTGGCCCATGAAGTCTTTTTTCCAGAAAACGCTTCTTCCTCCTCCTCGGGCACGCACCCGATTGCAAGACCAGTGCAGAATTTCACAAATTCCTCCGCCTCTGTCGATGACTACTTACCGGCATCTAATTCTGCTACTTCCGTCGATGACTTAAGCACATCGCAAATTCAAAATATTATTGCTCACCTAAGTGCACGTCTCCACCAACCGAACTCCGTCTTCTCTCCGGACCACCTATCTCTCTCCACAAGTCACGCCACTCCTGATTCTCACGCGGCAGGTATATCCTACACACCCTTTTGCCTTTCCAACTTCACGCACACACTTACCTCTAGATGCTGGATCATTGACTCTGGAGCCACACATCACATTTGTTGCACACCCACCCTTTTCACAACCCTTAAAAATGTGCATCCCATCCCAGTCACTTTACCAAATGATAGTTCAGTGTTAGTCAATCAAGTTGGAAGTACACTCCTCACTGACACCCTAACTCTACATGATGTTCTCTTTATCCCTCATTTTTCCTTTAACCTTGTCAGTGTCAGCATGTTGACCACCACCCACGACTGCATAATTAATTTTTCTTTTCATTCTTATGTCATCCAGGACCGCACTCGGGACTTATTGATTGGGAAGGGTAGACGCATTAGCAACCTTTACTACTTAACGACTAGATGTTTTTCTTTTCTTACTGTTCATTATGCTTCCACTCACTCTAAAAGTAACCTATGACACTTTAGATTGGGTCATCCTTCCCATGTAAAACTTCAGTATATTAATGAAGACTTACAAAGTTCGAATATTTCTCATTGTAAAATTTGTCATTTGGCTAAACAACATAAATTGCCTTTCTTTTCTAACAATAGATTATCTGACTATCCATTTGATCTAATCCAAATCGACATTTGGGGTCCCTTCTCTCCACCCACTATCGAAGAGTATAAATATTTTCTTACAATTGTTGATGATTGCACTAGGACTACTTGGGTGTATCTCATTCGTCAAAAGTCCGACATTCTTACCATTTTTCCTAAATTTTATACTCTCATACTTACACAATATAATATTTTCATTAAATCTGTGCGATCTGACAATGCGCACGAGTTGAATTTTCATTCATTTTTCAAGTCAAAAGGTATTATTTCTTATCGTTCTTGTGTTGAGACTCACCAACAAAACTCTGTTGTTGAACGAAAACATCAACACATTTTAAATGTGGCACGTGCTTTACTGTTTCAATTCCATGTTCCCCTTGTGCACTGGGGTGATTGCATCTTGATTACTGTTTACCTAATCAACCGAATACCTTCCCCCTTGTTATCTAATAAAACTCCATTTGAACTATTAACTCAAACAAAACCTTCCTATGATCACTTGCGTACCTTTGGTTGTCTGTGCTACTGCTCCACTCTTGATAGTCATCGCCAGAAATTTTCACCTCGTTCTAGGGCTTGTGTCTTCCTTGGTTACCCTTCGGGTTACAAAGAATATAAACTTCTCGATATCGAGAGCAACCAAATTTTCATATCACATAACGTCATTTTTCATGAACATATCTTTCCGTTTCTTTCCTCTCATTCACCAGATCCCATTCACAATAATTTTTTTCATGATCATGTTTTGCCTCTTCCTCTCCATACGTCCACACACTCCTCAGGTTCTCTTGATACACCTATTCGCTCACAACATGAGTCCTCCCAAACACTCTTATCTCGCCCACTACGTATAACACGACTACCTTCTTATTTGTCTGACTATCACTGCTACCATACAGATACACATGCATTTTATCTCATTTCTTCGTTCCTTACTCATACCAAACTTACACCCCAATATCACAGCTTTATTTGTGTCATTTCATTCCACACTGAGCCTACCAACTTTTATGAGGCTAACCAGTCCGATGTATGGATGAATGCTATGAACGTGGAGCTACGTGCCTTAGAGAACAATAACACTTGGTCCATTGTTTCCCTCCCTCTTGGGAAGAATCCCGTTGATTATAAGTGGATTTACAAAGTTAAATATCAAGCTGATGGGATTGTAGAAAGACACAAAGTTCGTCTAGTTGCTAAGGGCTACACACAACAATTTGGCATAGATTTCCTTGACACCTTCTCTCCTATTGCCGAATTGGTTACTGTCAAGATTTTGCTTTCACTAGCTGCTATACATGGTTGGCGCTTGACTCAGTTGGACATCACCAACGCTTTCCTTCATGGTGACCTTCACGAAGAGGTTTATATGACTATTCCTCCAAGCTATTCTCCTCGAGAGGGGGAGACTTTTCCATATCAACCTGTTTGCTTCCTACACAAGTCAATCTATGGGTTGAGACAGGCTTCCCAACAATGGTTTCATAAGTTCTCACAAGTATTACTTCAAGAAGGCTTCCATCAGTCACAATGTGACCACTCCCTATTTGTCAAGCAACAAGGTAAAGCCTTCCTAGCATTGTTGGTGTATGTCGATGACATTGTTATTGCTAGTAATGACGATCAGACTGTCGAAGAGCTCAAAGCTACATTCAGACAAAAATTCAAAATGAAAGATTTGGGGACTCTCCGATATTTTTTTGGACTTGAAATTGCAAGAAATGACACTGGAATCACCTTATGCCAAAGAAAATATGCGTTGGATTTATTAACTAAGACTAGATATCTTGGTTGTAAACCATCATCTATTCCCATGGATCCTAATATCAAGATGTCTAAAGATGATGGCGAACTTCTTAGTGATATCACCAGCTATCGGCGACTGATTAGAAACTGTTGTACTTGACCATCTCTCGCTCTGACATATGCTACTTTGTCAATAGATTGAGTTAGTTTCTGGCTGCTCCTAGAACCAATCACCTTCAAGCCGTTTTACGGATTCTCCAATATATCAAGAGGACACCTGGACAAGGTCTTTTCTTCCCTTCATCATCTGTCATTCAGATTAAGGTATTTTCTGATGTTGATTGGGGCACATGTCCTGACACTAGAAGATCCCTCACTGGTTATTGTGTTTTTCTTGGGTCTTCATTAGTCTCATGAAAATCAAAGAAACAACAAGTCGTTTCTCGGTCATTTGCTGAAGCCGAGTATCGCTCCATGGCTAATACTACTTGCGAAATCGTTTGGATTTTGAAATTGTTACGAGATTTAAAGGTGTAACACCAAAGTCCTGCATTACTTTACTGTGATAATCAGACAGCTCTACACATTGCTTCAAATCCAATGTATCATGAAAGAACAAAACACATTGAACTTGACTGTCATTTTGTTCGTGAGAAGATTCAAGATGGGACCTTGAAGACGATGCACATATCCACTCGAAATCAATTGGCAAATTTAATGACAAAGGCCCTTCATCCTACGCAGTTCGATAATTTGTTGAGCAAGATGGGTACAATAAATTTGTACTCTCCATCTTGAGGGGGAGTATTAAGACCAATTAATTACATTGTAACCATTTTTGTTTTTTTCCTGTTGTTTTCTTTTGCTACAGTACAACACAAGTAGCAATATATGTATTCCTGTAAGCAGCAAAACATTCACAGAGAAGAAAACATTTTCCTTTGTCATTCTGCTCTTTCCTTGTTCTATTTTGCTTTTCCTTCTTTTCTATCAAGCTCCTCCTCCGTCGAGCGAGACGACCTCCTCTTAAGTAACGACAACTTCGTCATGTGTTATGGCCTTTGTACGGCACGAACGCCTGAGCATCAGCATCAACTTGTTTACGACACTCTTACTGCTTTTGCTCGCGTGATTTCAAACTTCCCTCACAACCGCAATCTGTTCGGATCTGCAACGTAAGACCTGTTATCGGACGACACAATCATGGTATCGGTAATGGGAGGGTTAGGTGTCGGCGGTTGTATCGTTAATAGAGAGTGTGTCGTTGGCTGACGAGCAGTGCACAATTTGTCGACGCTGGAGGTGGTTCGGTTGCAATGCTCCCATCTCTTTCACCGGGACTGTGTCGTTGGGTGGTTGATTCGAAAGCCTATTTGCCCATTGTGTCGCTCCTCTTGGACTGCGTATCACCCGTAATCTCTTCGCCAGTCTAAACAGTTTCTTTTTTGAGATATTAAATGATATATTTATTTTCTTTGTAAATATATAAATTTTATTAATTTGATAAATATATATTAATTATAATACAATATATGATTATCACTTACACGTCTAGCTAATAACATATTTACTTGACTACATGTGTTTAATTTAAGGATTCAAGATAAATACTTTCACCAGCTAGAATTAGGAAATCCTCAAAAGTTATATCTCTATGTACTAAGATCGGAAATCATAAGAAACTTAACCTAGTTTTTTTTATTAATTAAGCAATTAGAATGATATTCTTGATTGCATAACTTTAATGTTGATATACATAACTTTAATGTTGATATAATTGTCTTAAAAATAATTATAATCTCGTTTAAGTAATTTTACTTTTAGATTTCTTTTGAAAGTTTGAATAATTTTTTTTTTTTTTATTAAGATAACTCAAGAGCCTATCAAATCCAACATTAACATTGAAAAACCTAACGCGTTTTTTCCATCTTACTAACCATTAATTTTTTCCATTCAAATTTATATATTTTCTTAATAATAACATTCTTGATCGATGAGAATACTTCCTTTCCGGCGAGGTCTGTCACTTCTACTTCTTACCCTCTTGTCGACTTGCTGCCCACACCATCACCTCTTACGCTCGCAGGAGTTCCGACCTCCTTTGCAACCATAACAGTCATGTTGTGTTCTGGAGAATAAGACATGTATAATAGTGATTATAAGCGTGAGACGGTGCAGAAAGTGGCTACGGCGGTGGAGAAGTTACAAGTCGAGGAAGCCTGTTTGCCCATTGTGTTGCCATAAACTGTATCTTACCCCGTAATCAATTCTAAAATATACAGTTGCTGATCTTCTTCTTTATTTGCTTATAATGAGTTAAACATGTATGTGTAATACACAGACGCAGGCACGTGTATCACAAAATACCTATATATAATATATATACACATTTATACATATACATGCATATATATATACACGCATACAAAGAGCCATCAGAGTAACACACACACACACACATATATATATATACATACACACACACACACGCAATGAATCGGTAGCAATATCCCCTAAAACCCGACCCAGCAGTTTGAGATAGGGCAGCGTTCGTGTTGAGTTTGACGAATGTTATACGAATCTGTAGATAACTATTATCCAAAAGATGAAGATTTATACATATATCTCCTAAGATATCTCTTAATCAGGTATAATAATTAATTCCATTAAATATATGTACATGTAATTATTATGGCTCGGTCCAATTCACCCTTTCTTCTTCCCCATAAATAATCACTGAAACCCTCATTTGCATTTCGTCACTTCCTCCAGCACCGCGAGCGGTAATCGCGCACAAAATATCCTCACCTCGGTAATCTCTCTCTTCATTTTCTGTTCATTATTTAATCTGTAGCAATAATACGTCTATATCTATCGATACACATATAATTTTTAGGGAAAGTGGTTTTAAAATGTAGATAAATATAATCGAAGGAGACCAAACTGTTTTCTGCACCTCTCGTATGCGATGTGCTATCTCACATGAACATGAATTAATGTATAGAAATTCATGGTTCTTTGTCAGTTGATTTCTTTTCTCTTCTTTTTGGGTTTTCCATTAGGTTTATTAAGTTTAGCAGTGGAGATGCAGGACACTTTCTTCGTTGATAACATCAACCCAGATGGCAAAAAGTTTGACAAAGGTATGTATCTCTTTCAATTATGCTAATCACCAATTATTATATCTAATCATTCGTAAGTATCGTTGTTTGAGAGAATCGATTTAATCCGTAGAGGAATTTTTGTCGTGGGCTGTGTATAATATGAGTATAGCGTATTTAATAAAAAATTAAGAAAAACTAATTAAGATAGTAATTAAAAAAATACTAACAACGGACGTGGTAAGTGTAAAATCAAATATTCACAATACCAATTATAATATATCTTCTAAACGATAATATATGTAAAGTTGAATAATCCACAAAGAAATTTATGTGTATAATTCATGTAGGGCGTATTTGTTATATCTCATTAATAAAGTATTTAAGAAATACTAATTAAGATAGTAATTAAGAAAGACCAACACGATTGAATATTCACAACACTAATTATAATATACTTTTAAAACGATAATACATGTATGAGCCACCATTCTGACTTGAAGTTACAAAAAATGGACGCATTAACTGTTTAATTGAATAGTAATTAATTAATTTACTCTTAATCTATTATTAAAACCTCGTTTTTAATTCGTGCAGTATCTCGAATTGAAGCAAGAAGCGAGAAGTTGGATTTGTACATGCAACTCGATGTGAACACCGAAGTGTATCCAATTAAAGAGAAGTCTAATTATGTGGTTTTACTTACTCCATCACTTAACGAGGATGGAAGTACTGCTGTTAATTACCATAATCTGGTATTTTTCGTTTATTCCTAATCTTCTTTATATATATTTCATATATATGGTTCGTAAGCCATTGTATCACAAAGCTCTCTCTCTCTCTCTGCATATATATCATTTTATGTTGAATCCAGGATGGTCGAGGTTCCATTGCTGACAAATTTGAGTACATCATGTATGGAAAACTATACAAGATTTCTGAGAGGGGTTCCGGAGAAAATCTTAAAACGTAAGTGTGCGTTTATATATATATATATATATACTGTAAATGATGATGGTATATGAAGTAATGAGATTGTTTTTATGGGTATAGGGAGATATACTTGTCATTTGGTGGGCTCCTAATGGTGCTGCAGGGAAATCCCTCCTATGTGACTGATTTTCATTTGGACCAAAACTTGTTTCTCTGCATGAGGAAGCTTTAGATTTTCTAGTAGGTGGGCCTACTTGACTTAAACACTGAATTTGATAATTTAATAAGCCCAATTTACTATTACTCCTCAATGGGCCAACTCTATGGATCTGTTGCTGTATCAACAAGTTATGACGGTGATTATTATTATTATATGAGAAACTTATTAATATTATTATTACTCCGTTTACAACCATCCCCTGGCTTTGTGACATGATACATAAATAATTCAACAGGCAGTCTTGTCGAAATTCAGCAAGGGGATGTTTAAAACAAACCAATTTTTACTTTCCAAATTTATAATTTTTTTTTTAATTTTTTAAATATATATTCTTACATGAAATAATAAAATATAACGTTTTAAATTGAAATCTCAGTTTTAGATTGTGATATATACGGGTATGATGCAAATAAAATTAAATTTTCCTAATCATAATTTTGGAAAGAAAAAAAAATCCTAAATACGCATTGATTACGATTGTGGTAATTATTCCAATAAATTATTATTGCACAAGGCCATAGTTTATGGTAGTGATGGTGCCAAAACCTAATAAGCCAACCTGTAAAGTACTCATAATACTCAATTAATTATTGATTAATTTTGTTGTTAATTCATTAAGAAAAAACAA